TTCCCTGCAGGGGGGAATTTCTTAAAATCCCTTTTTAGTGTACATTCTCATGATGTACCTTAGCTGTGTACCAAATTTCAACTTTCAACTCCTAACCATTTGGGCTCTACACTTATTATTATTATCAACCCATCTAAATTATATTATAAGATTTATTTGTAGTTTCTGATGTACTGTATATTATTAATTGATATAATTTTTTATTTGTCTCTTTTAGCTTGATTATGAATTGTTGCTTCAAGTTATTGGAAAATCAGAATACAGTTCGATGCAAATCTACAAAGAATGCCATTTTTAATCTTCTTGGTATTTTATTAAAAAAATATAAAAACAGCTTAAGTAAGACTTCATTTTAGTAATTTTACAATTAATATCAATAAAATAAAATCATAATAATGTACAGTATTGCTATTTTAAAGGTTGCAGTTTAAAAATTATACAATTTGTGCAGCATTTTGATTATTTAGTTTCTCCTCTGGCTCAAGCAGTTGAATTATTTGTAAATGAATATGGTATTAATAATATTGTGAATGAAATAATAAGGTATGTATGGAATTATAAATAAAAAATTTCAAGACATTTTTTAATATTAAATTGTCATTTTATAAAATTATACTTTGTATTTTCATTATTTTTTAGGGAAATAAGTCAAATGGACATTCAAGATTTAATTAGAGATAACACAGGTACCAAATCAGTCTCCCTGTTCCTGGTTGAAATTACAGAAAAAATTCCTTCTGTAGTTTTACATTCTTCAAGTCTCTTGCTTCATTTTCTTGATGAAGAAGTAAGTAGTGAATTATAAATAAATTTATCTAGTTTTCTAAAACAAATATTATTCTTATTTATCTGTTAAAAAAATATAATACACAAATTTTTATTTAAAAATATTGTTGTTTCTTATAATAATTCTTATAATTCCTCTATATAAGCAAATTCTTATAATAAATTTATTATGCCTTTAATTATTCATGTCCAAAAAAAAAGCATAATAATCAAATTTGTCGATAGAGCAAAAAATAAACAAATAAATAGCAAAAAACTTACATGAATGTTTCCAGACAATAAAAATGTAAGGAACCAAGTCCAAGCATTATTTTTATTTACTTTTATTTTTGCTTTTTATTATATTTTTGTTTGGGGCTTATGTTTTGTTAGGACAAAGGTTTCCTCACCATTCACCTTAGAAACTTAAAAATAGAAGAGAAACCAACTCACCAACGAGAGAAAAGTGCCGTAGTAAAAAACTTGCGCACACTTGTGCTCCCGAGCGGGAAAAAAATAAGTCCGCACTGAGAAAAGGGGGGGAGACCCCACAAGCACAACTTAGGGACTCGCTAAACGTTAAAGAATAAAAACATCCTGAAAATTGTCAAAAAGAATAATGTAAAAGGTTAGCGAGTATTGTCGGAAAATAGGCTGCCAGACAAATAGAAAAAGTTTATTGTTAGCAAATAAGTATGTAAATGAGGGGAGTGATCNTTAAAAATAGAAGAGAAACCAACTCACCAACGAGAGAAAAGTGCCGTAGTAAAAAACTTGCGCACACTTGTGCTCCCGAGCGGGAAAAAAATAAGTCCGCACTGAGAAAAGGGGGGGAGACCCCACAAGCACAACTTAGGGACTCGCTAAACGTTAAAGAATAAAAACATCCTGAAAATTGTCAAAAAGAATAATGTAAAAGGTTAGCGAGTATTGTCGGAAAATAGGCTGCCAGACAAATAGAAAAAGTTTATTGTTAGCAAATAAGTATGTAAATGAGGAGAGTGATTGCAGTCAGAATTGTGACGTCACCTCACAGTATAAAGTCCGAACGTCAAGTGAAGATGACCGAGGTGAGCTTCTGTTAGCAACGAGCTTGGTGAGCTTCGTAGTAGCAAACGAGAGAGGTGTCCGATAGGATAAAAGTAGTTCCAAGGCGATTTTGAAGTTATTTGCTTTGTGGATCGACGAATAGAGAAAGTCTTGAGAGTTGAGGAAATAGGTTTCTAGTATATTGAGGTGATGATTAGGATCTTAATAATTCATAAGAATTATCGTATATAAGTTAAGTCTTTGAATTTTGTCGAATTCCAAAGGGGAATAGAATTAAGTTAGAAAATAATTGAATTGAGTTTTGTCGGGTTGATTCTTATTGATTTTCATTGAATAAATTGTTGTTTGATTTTAATAAATTTTGTATATAGTTTATTACTAGAAATTTATTAAATATTTGATTTGTTATTGACGAACTTGGTCATTATTTAATTCGGTGCACGCTTAAAGTCCAGGCCTGGCACACTAACACGAATCCGTGTAAAGTACCCGTTAGGGAATGGCTATTTCCGGCACACAGTCGTGTCGATAATCGTTGGAAAAGTCGGAAAAATAATATAGTACTTTACAAAAATATTCAGGATGTAGTCAAGAATGTTTACTTTAAAAGCATGAATTTATGCAAAATATGTAGTTCCCTAAATACAGCAGTAGCGTAGCATTGTTTCCGTGAGACTAGTTCAAAAAGTAACCTTAAAAATGTTTGGTGATTATGCTTGGATATGATATAGGACAGACATTCCTGAGCATGATTTTCATAACTTGTATCACTCACAATGTCATGTAGCAGTTCTGCAAACGTGGTTCCCTTGGTATGATAATTAGTTATCTTTTTCCTTATAAGAGATGGTGTGAAGCCCATCAAAATTCATTGTTAAATGATGATACAATATGATACTACCTGCATATTGCTGCAGCAAGTCTGTAGATCAAACACAAGTTCAAAGCAGATCAGTCAAGTATGAGTGACACTCCAATATCATTCACATGATGTGATGTCTGAGATTACCCCATTCATAGATGAACAAATTTGTCAAGACAAACATATCCCTATCAAAGAATTGGTGAAGATTTTGCATATGGATGAACCACATCATTCAAGATGAGGTGCAACATCACAGTAGCTGCAAGATAGATTCCCAAGTAATTGACATAAGAAATGAAGGAATGACAAGCTGAGACATTACAAGAAGGAAAAGAAAGACTTTTAGGAATGCCTAGTTAATGGAAGTTGGGTACACTACTTTCTACTATAAACCAAATGATCAAGCAAAGAATGGCATCATGTTCATCACCAAAACTCAAAATGTTTTGAAACCAGCCTAGTGCAGAATGATACTGTTAATATTTTTTTTAGGATCACAAAGGGATCACATTGTCATACATTACATGCTTTCAGGACCCACTGTGATAGTGAATCACATTCTGATCTCTTGAAAACACTTTTGAATCCAGAGATCAGAACAAAACAGCAAGAACTTGCTCACCCTTTGTGCCCTTCTGCAACATGACAATGTACAGTCTCATATCTCATGTATGACTACTGCAGCCATCCAGGAGATTTGATCCTGCATCCACCATATTCACCAAACTTTGCACTATCAGATTATCATATCTTCGTGTCAAAAAGTTTGTTCTAATGAAGAGGTTCAACAAGCAGTGCATGAATAGTACATACCCCAAAGATATTTTTTGTTGGAATAAATGTGGATAGTTATTTGAATAAGTGTTTTATATGAAGCTGTAAAATCACTGTGACATCTCCACCTTTAAGAGCTGATTTTACCCTGTGAAAACATTTTTTAACTGTTAGAAGTGCATGTCTTGAAGTTTTTAATTTCTGTAACATATATAAGAATCAAAATCAGAGGGACATTTGGGTGCTAGTCCTTGTTAGTATTCTAACTTATTTTTATGAAATTAATTAAAATTAAGTAGAACTTGCATTATTAAATATGTATAAATTCTTTCATATGATGCAACTTAATAGCAATTAACATAATTCATTTACTTATGAAATTTATTTTTATAATGCATAATCTTTTAGAAGA